GAATATTGGAATTTTAGCGAGTCCATCACATTTTCAAAGCTCACCATCTGTTTGTGTAACAATTTAAATTTTCATCTGTTGGGAAGTGTCGCGATTCTATTGGTGGAATCCCGTCCAATAAGCACTCAGTCTAGATAGATGGCTGTGACGGCTTGAGGTCCTGGGTCCGTCACTTACCAGGGTTTTATTTACCACATGCTTTCTACTGCTAGTGTACGCCCGTAACGGCCTGAGCACTCTTACATCTGGTAGCACTTAGTAATCCGCCTAACGCTCACACGTCGATGAATGACGCATCAATAATGACCAGCATGTCACTGGAGTACTTGAGCTTCCCTGATATCTCGGGGAGGCGCTGCACCGTCCGGCCGCCGCGTCCGGCGAGGCTGTCATACAAACGTTGCTCGCGGCCGGCTGGAAGCCCAACAGCGCCTGGTCGCCCAGGGGATCATAGCTCGTGAGCTTCGTCAGCAAGTGTCATTATTCCCAAGAACAAGACCGACATCGTCAAGCTTGATGTAGTGGCGAAGTCGGCGGTCTCCCCCACTTAAACGTTGGTTCGCCGACGTGGGAAACGAGACTGAGGCTTGGCAACAGCCCGCCAAGCTTGCGCGTGCGCGCTTTCTGCTTTCAAAAATGACGGACAAATCAAAGGAATGGGCTCTTGGTAAGCTCAAGGATGATGCTAGCTGCTTCCCGACCATGACCTTCGCCATACCATTGGCAGAATCAGCCCGTAAGCCACGCTTCTACATGAAGCAATCGAGGGAACGCCTCCTCAGGTCTTAGAACAACTCCCTCGTTTAAAACGTCTGCCTTCAAGGCTTCGCCGAACTCGGCAACGGACATCTCGTCCCGCTCTAGCAGAGCGTTTACAGCGGGCAGAGCGTCCATAGTGGGCAGTGTGTGAAGGCTGATGTCGTCTTCGATCTTCCTCGTCAATCTATTCACGAAAATGTACAGCTGCTCGCAGTATCCACGCTGAGCCGCACCGATCGTCTCGCTGGACAACTCGTCCAATGTCGAAGCCATCACAGACGTCCTTCGGCTTCTTCCCCTCCCCCCATGCGACCGTGCTCAGCCGGATGAGGGCGGTGCGGCGTCTCTGTCCTGTAGGCCAGCTACCAAATCTGTATTACTTAGTGGATTACGCGCTCCCCCACGCTCACTCTCACCAGGATTCAGCGGTTGACCGCCGACCTGACCTTTACTACTTCGCGTGCCGCCAAACGTAGATTCGGCCAAACGGCAACCTCGTTGTTAACAAGGTCTAGTATACCAATGTCTCGCACCACAACCGCATCGGCCTCGTGCTCGCGCAAAATGTGCTTCTTCTTCCAAGCAGAGGTGTGTTCATGACTAACTAAAGCTCTACTAGAAGCTGGATGCGTACCGCCTAGCATCTTAAACTTTCTGTGGATCCATGAGCACGGCGCTGCCATCTCAAGGACGAGGTCATACCTCCAGTTCACTAACAGCCTTCCACGCTATCGAAGTTTTCAACTTCACACCAAGCCCCACAGCGACATGCGACACAGTAACTTGTGTCCCCGTCGCGAGACGGACAGAGATTGTATCTTTCTTAGCACTTCTAGTGCATCAGCATACTACTGACTCCCTTCCGGGGTGGGGCGACAAGCATAGCTACTCGAGGCTCCGAGTCAATCAAGACTCTCCATGGCTTCAAATATCCCTTCATGTTCGCTTGAACGACCAGCAAGCCCGGCTTTTATACACTCTTCTGCCTAGTTCTCCTCGCCTATTTAATTTTTACCGGTACAGTACTGTCCGATTACCTGATGATTAGGCTCTTGTTGCTATCTTATACCTTAAGATTTTATTTACCGTATTCCTTATGTGATTGGCGACGCTCGGTCATTAGCGACAAATCCAACAGCCAATCAAATTAAGTTAAATTTTGTGTCGTCGCGCTTTATGTGCAATAGATTCTTACTTATTTTTGTCTATGCATGTATGATTTATGCTGGCAAAAAGCTGAGCCACCTTCTAGAATATG